AGACCAGGCAGGGAGAGTCCTGTGGGCTGACCTCCCTCACACGCGCTTCCAGGGAAGGGGGAGTCCCGCCCAGGGCTGTGCGCGGGGCGGGGGGTAGATGCCTTCGCGTCTGCGGGCCGTCAAGATGAGAAACCCACGCGAGTCCGTAGAAGCCTTCGACCTTCCTTCGAGCTTACAGTCCCCAGCCTTCTCATTGGCTAGCCTCTCAGCCTTTGAACTTTCCCCTCACTTTCTCACCCAATCGCCTCCGCCCTCTCATGGGCCGAGGACGCAGAAAGGGCGTGACCGGGGCGGGGCGGTATTCTTAGAGCTCGTTTGCGCTCCCGGCGTGGGGCTAGCCTGTTGGGGCGGGTGAAGGGGCCGGGGCGGCGCGCCTTTTGTGTAGGGCCGGCGGCGCAGGGGCAGGCCGTCCCGGGCCCAGGTGAATGGAGGAACCTGACAGCTGGGGGGAGCGTGGCGGCGGCGGCGGGGAAATGGCGGCGGCGGCGGCGGCACAATGAGGCGCAGCCTGTAGCGGGGCGGCTCCGCACTGGGGCCCGTGCGGCAGGTAGGAGGCGGCGGCGGTGGCGGCGTGACGGGCGCTGGGCCCATTTGCGCCGCGTCTCCTGCCCGGCCGCGCTACTCTTTGTGCTCTGCGCCGCGCGGCTCCGGGCACTTCGCGGCCTTTCAGCCGGGGGCGTGGAGCCGCCTGCCGGGGCGGGAGGCGGAGGCGGCTCAGGAAAGAGGCGCCGCAGGGGGCGTGAGCAGGGCTGGGCGCACGGCGCAGGGAAGGGCCCTGGGGGCGGCGGACTTGCCCTCGCTCGAGACTGCGGCTCGAGGCCCGCAAAGGGGCAGGAAGGTTACAATGAGCACAAGGAAGGTTTGGGGTTTGTTTTTTTTTTTTCAGGCAGGCCCACAGAGGCGGTGGCAGGTCTAGGGGGGATGGGGCACGGCCTCTGCATCGCAGCTTCTTGGACCTTAAATGGTGGAGGCTGCAAGTGGGAGAGGAGCTGTAGGGGGGAAAGCCCTGGTCGGACACGGTTCAGTTTCCTTCACATCTCTGCTGGCTGCTGCTGTGCGTGGGCAAGACGGGCCGCTGGCAGTTCTTACGGGCTTGTGTGCACTGTAGACTGTGCCAAGCAAATACGTGACCGGTGTTTGTGGATGGAGGCTGGTGGGTCAGGAAAAATGTGAGGGGTGAGGATTTCTGTGGTGACGCCTTGTACTGGACCAGCAGCGCAGTTGGTCTGTTGCTTTCCTGGACCCCAAGAACCTGGGACTTGAAGGCATTGACTTTAGGGCTGTTATCCCCGCTAATTTCTGCACTCCACAGGTGATAACAACCCTTTCCAACAGCCTTGCTCTTCCACTTATCAGGTTATCCTTTCAACTGCACTTCTGTCTGTTAAGTACCTGATAATATCTCTTATCTTGTTTTTATTTACATGGAGCTTTGCACAGCTCAAGCTGTGTCAGGTTGCTTGGTCCTCCCCCCCCCCCCCCCAAGCGCCCCCAGG